GGAGAGGCTCTTTCGGACCAAACAGTTCCATCAGAATCGGCTCCAGTCCTTCAAGGCGGAATCCAAACTCTCCCACATTCATTTCCGCTCCTTCTAACGTCGCCGAGAGGTTGAAATGCAAGGAGCGCGGGACGTAGGAGCCAGGGACAAACACGACGTCTCCCTCGACGCCCGCGCCTGCGCCAAGCGAGGGAATCCGAGAGGACCAGTCGATGTTCCTCGAGTACTTCCTTATGTCCGCTGGAAAGTCGGTCGGAACGATGAAATTTGACAAATGTTTCCGTATACTCTCTTTATGAACCGCGGTGGACTTCTGTAGGTTAAGCAGGTGACTCAGGACAAAACTACGGACTGAGAAGAAACAGATTGTCAGATTTGGCTGATATGTGACTAAATCTAACATCAGTGAATAAACATATCGATATATATATATATATATATATATATATGTGTGTGTGTGTGTGTGTGTGTGTGTGTGTATGTATATATATATGTGTGTGTGTGTGTGTGTGTTTGTGTGTTTGTGTATTTGTATATGTATATTTATATTTATATATACATATATATACATATATATTTATGTATATGTATGTGTTTATATAATCTAACTTCAGTCATGAACATATCGATGTATATATACATGCATATATATATATATATATATGTGTGTGTGTGTGTGTGTGTGTGTGTGTGTGTGTGTGTGTGTGTGTGTGTGAATGTGTGTACGTATTTATGCATATATTTAGTTATATATGCTTGTGTGTATATATATGTGTGTGCGTGTATATATATATATATATATATATATATATATATATAGTAAAGTAAGTAAATATACATGTATTTACAGACACACACACACACACACACATACATATATATATGTATATATATATATATATATATATATATATATATATATATATATATGTGTGTGTGTGTGTGTGTGTGTGTGTGTGTGTGTGTGTGTGTGTGTATACATGCATATATAAGTATATACATGTATGAATATATGTATATATGTGTGTGTATATATATACACAAACACATATATATACACACCAAGTATAATTACCTTGAGTATTTTCTTGTACGGAAATCTTGTTAATCATTTCCCCCAAAGCTTCCTCCTCAGCACACTGAACGGACACTAGATACGAAGCAATGCGGATTTCAGTTTCGGTGAACCGACTTGTGGCAAAGTCCAGAAGCTGATTTACAGGCTGTTGGTGATGAAAAGAAATGCGGGAATGATCCTCATATATCTTTTGAAATTCTATATTGTGTTCTGATTTTAGTTAATCTGCAGTAATTGCAAGTCTTAAAATGGACACACTACCAAACTTACTCGTTGACGACAATCGGTTTGCCTGAAGGCCTGAGCAGCAGCTACCCGGATGCTGGTCTCCACTGTCTCATTCTCAATACACTCAAGAGCTACCGTTGTCACGGCAGGTGTAGCTACACCCATATTCCCTATTGCCTTGAAAATTGCTAAGGCTACTTCCTTGTCCTCAGCACCAGCAGAAGGAGAGCAGTGAGTCTGGACTCTGTTAGCCAGAATCTCGGCAATTCTCGCAACTGGAGCTTCCTCATAGCAAGCTGGAGTATGACGGCAGTAGTTGTTTACCATGGAAGCAGCTGCCAGCAGCAACGAGGGCATTGGGCGAGGGCTTTCAAACAGCGGCGTAAGGGCCTTGACTGCCTCAATGTTGGGTCGTGGGATGAGGTAGAGCGCTGCCGTGTACAGAGCGAGACGTCCCCCTGTTGCTCGTCCATTCTCGATTTCGTGGACCATGACCTTTACTGCACCAGACTCGTGGAGGAAAGCAACTGCGTCCAAGAAGATGCTCTCCAGCCTGGCAGAGTCACTGCAGTAAAGTCCTTGTCTCACTTTCTGTGCAGTCTCCACCACAACCGTGTCAGGAACGCGACGTAACACATGGAGAGCCTTGGCAACCAAAGCACCAGCTTCAGCCTCAACTGTGTCTTTGGTCTTGTCACAGATCTCCTTCATGAGTTCATCCAGCTCAGGTGCCAGCTGTGGGTCCTTCATTGTTTCATGGTTGTACAACAGGTTTTCAATGTGCAGTTCTCCTGAAGGGATGCCGCTGATGGCTGAAGTGTCGGAGGACTCGGAGATGAAGCGAAGTGTTGAATACTGACTGGCCTCCACATACTTGTAGATTCCAATGGAAGGTCGAACGATGTTCTTGTCCTGACACGTGATGGCGGTGTAAATGCCATTGGCGATTTCCTGCCTGCACTGCGACTTGGATTCCTCGATCGGCAGGGGAGCCTTCAGCCATGGTGCAGGTGTTTCAGCAGGTGTTGGGTAACGCTCTTGACAGTGGCGGTGGTTCTTCTCCTTGACCACAATGACCTTCTCTCCTTCGGTCTCAATTTCATACTTTGTCGGGCATTTTCCAACAACATCGGTCTGAAAGATCAAATATCATTGTTATCATTATCCCTTTTAACTTATGATATAGTACTGAAA